CTGTACAAGAAGAAGGCAAGAAGGCAGCCATCATGACCATGGCACTGCTTCGCTCGCGCAAAACAAGAAGCTGATCAACTTCCTGTTCTGCGCGAGCGAAGCAGTGCCCATGATAAGTGCGTTGAAATCCAATGCGCAGCGCGCACAATGACCAGGATTCCATCAGCTCCTGTTCCCAAGAAACCATTGCCGCCTGGCACACAGGGCCTAGGCGGCGGTGTTGATGACTGTGAGGGGCGATGTTGCACAGCTACTCGCATCAGACTGGTGGTTTTGTCTTCGACTGTGTGCATCAAGTTTGTTGCTGGCGACGATGGCGGTGACGGTGGCGGCCCCAGATTCTAGCCCCTTTGCCCGTGGGACGTAATATCCAGTCCTTGGATTTGATGCAGTGTATCAGAGTTTGACAGGCGACAGGAATAGAATCGAATCCACTGATGCTTTGGCTCACACCAGCAACAAGATGAAAGGCACTTGATTTTCCCAGCGATTCTCGTTCCCCCTCCGCTCATCGTCGAATGTACGGGCCGGCCAGCCCGCAACACCCGCATTGCGGCCAGCGGCTCTCCAGCGCCGCCTAATGTACTAGCCCACCCAGACGGTAGAACAATGGACATACCGTGCTTGTGCGGTTGGTGCGATATGGCCCTTGGTGGCTGACACGTAGTTACCGTGAAATAGTCAACCTTTCCGCATAGCAACGTATGCTTGACCCTTTCTTCGCGGAGACAAGTTATTAAAGTTTGTGAGGAGCAACATAACAAAATTGAATGGCGCTCTGAAAAGAAAAATGCGTAGCAAAAAGTACAGCGGTAGAATTTTTGTATGCCAAAGGGGTGAATACACAAAGGTCATGCAATTCTTACATCATCCTTCCGGAAGGTGGCGAGAACATGGTGCCCTATAGGCCAGCGAGTGCCCGTTCACACGTGTGTGGGTAAGGCCCCCGCGACCGCCCAAGCACAAGCCGACCCAGTCAACAGCCCACAAATCTTGGCGGTGGCCTCCACGGACCTCCAGGGGCCATCACCCAGCCCCAGTGCACCGCACACCCCCGAAGCTGAGTTCAAAGCCAGGCGCCAGCGCCACCCCCAATGGATGCCGCAAATCGCTAAGGGTGGATGCAATGGATTGGATGCAGTGGATTCAATCCGATGGATTGAATCAATCTGAAAACCCAGAAGCACCTGAATTTTCGAAGCAATGCGTGCCAACACGGCGCGGATCGCGACGCAGGCAGGCTGTGCGGTCGCTCCGACGTTTCTAGTGCGGGCAGGACGCCACAGTTGACCTTTTCAGCAAAGAGAAGGCACGCGTCATTTGCAGTTTGTGCATCCGCCATTTTAAAAATGCGACCTCCGTGGGCCCTTACGCCTTTGGGACGTGCATGTCAGGGACCATCATAAGATGGCCACCATCCATGACGACGCAGAGGGCGCCAACCGCATCGACAACGAGCTGGCTTCAATATTGCACGCAGAACTTAGCATATGGAGCACAAACTCTGGCCACGTAAAGACCACACTCTTCAACACAATTGCACAGCCGCGTTGATAAGAAAATCAACATGATAAACACTGTACCAACGTTTCAGCCCACAATGACATTTGCACGAAAACGTGTTACTGAAAAATAAATAAAATTCACATTCTTCCTCGATTTCCCCCACCAAACTGCTGTCTGCCCAAGCATTTGGGCAGCACGTCGGCAGCATTTGATCCTTTTTCGACTGACTTTTAATTCAAACTATTAGTCAAAAGTTTTTATGCCTTCCAGCCGTACTTGCTATGCATTCGCAAAATCTTGGCAACAAGGATGTCATATCCCCAAAATTTCGACCCTTTCTCAGGTTGGCAGAGTGTTTGTTGTCATGTTGTTGCTCAGACATCCATTTGTCGTTTAGAACTCTTATGTTCTCAACCCCCTGTCCGAATTATCAGTAATTGACCACTGGTCTGCCTCCGTCAATTACTGATTTATAATCCGATGATTAAATGGCGGCATATGAGAATCCCGTTTCGAGGGATGCCATCAACAATATCTTTGAACGGCTATCACCTTTTCTCCTCGTTTCACATGCAACTTTCCAGTTCTCATAGCTGGAGGTCGGTGGCTGAACGCTGATGCGCATCGAAACTCAATGAGAGAACTGAATGCAGCCTAAAAGGCCAGTTCAAAGAGATGAAAGTCTGACACACCAAGACAGCCGCAGCGGCCATGTTGTGCAAGCACCTGTCCATGCGCTGGCTGACTGGTGCACACATTGACCTGATTGATATGGCGGCAGGATGGCTGGCCAACAGTCAGCTTCAATCCTACTAATTTTGGTGGTCGTGAGTTGGTGCTGTGGGTTGGAGCTTTGGGTTGGTGCCGTGGGTTGATGCTGTGGGGTAGCGTGTTGTGCGTGTGTGAAGTGTGAGGTCAGTCTGCCGTTCTGAGTGTGAGTTTCTGGTGGGCGAAAGGAGAGGCGCATTCTCACTGGTAGAAAACGCCATGTTTGCGATGCCAGCTGCGATGCCGTTTTGATACAAATTGAGACTATCACAGTGTTTGCGATGGCACAAAAGGGGCTGTGATGGCATCAATTTCTGTCAGATGGCAACGCAGTTGGCATCGCAAATAGGCTGTTTTCTACTGGTGTCTGGTATTTAAAGAGAGCCTGAGAGTTGTTCGTGGCTTCTCTCGGTTTGGTTGTAAGACACGTTGAGTCTTGGCTGCTTGTCCGACCATGCACGGCGAGTGCGTTCGAGCACCGCGTGCACCAAGGTTGCCACAGAGGTCGAACCAAGTCTGTTTGACTTGTGCTGCGTTGTGCCCCATCGCTGCGCGAATTCGATTGCGACGAGCGAGATCTCGAACCGGAATGGCTAAGGAACTTTGGCACCCCCTAATTTGACATTTTACTAATTTTGTTAGCATTTTAGAACTGGAAACAAAATTCAAAATACAAAACTTTTGTGTAACACTTATCCGCTCTTCTCCTCACGACATACTTCTCCTCCTTCTCCCTCATGCTCCTGGGGCTGAGCAATGTATGGCATTTTTTCACTACTTGCTAGAGCACAATGTTTTAATTGTGAGCTTGGTTTTGCTTATTAGCAACGCCAAGCGGCTGTCCACGTCAAACATGACTGCTCCATGGTGTGCTGGCACCTAGTCAGTCGCCAGGTACCGGTCGTGAGTCCATCATTGTGTGGCGTGGCACAATGACGAACGGCGAGTTTGACAAGTGTACTAGGAGTGTCTGGGGTTAGTTATTTCGATTTGCAGAAGCTCCCTGTGAGTTTGGGGTCTCACAGGGCGCCTGTTCATGCATATCACGTTTAGCCACAAAGCTGTTGATGGGTCCAGTACAAGGGACTAGTGGTTACCCAGCAGCCCCTAATTGAGCACCAATGCACCAAATTGGTTGTTGACACGTTGCTAGCTTGTCCGCCATTGGTTAAGCAGTTCGGGTGGAGGCGGCCTGGGAACGAGCTGGAGGCGACGGAGTTCCAGACAGAACCCAAACAGCGATGTCCCTTTACGCCAGGGCATCTGCTCGGTCCATGTGCTGTGATTATGTCTCATCAGTGTCGCCTTTTATAGGTGATGTTACGGCTAGAACTGATTGAGTGTTACTAATAACTGAATGCATGAGAAGATGACGAAGCACTAGGAATTGCATTAAAGATGTTGATGAACAGACTGAGTATAAAGGACGGAATGTCTCTTGTCCTTTTGCCTCGGCTGTAAACCGTTGCTGTGGAAATGAGCGTGCGATTCCCGTTCAGGGGCCGCCACCGCTCGATCCTGCCTACCTTCGTCAGTGACATAAAACACGACGTAAATGACCTCATCATGCCCAAAACTCCACCAATTCGCAAACGCTGACGTAACCGTCAGAAAAGGCGCCAACCGAGGGACGGACGCCGGCCTCGCGTCACCCCAATCATAAAGCCTCACCCCCCTCCCTCCTCTCTCCACACACACCCCGGTCCCCCGGCTCCATCACCCCCGATTTCTCCGACCTTGAGCGTAATCGAGTCGACGGCGGGGGCCGGACCGCAGCGCCCCCCCATCGCCACTGCCAACGGCGCCGCTGTAAACCACCGACACTCTCACAGACCCTTTTCCAGCCAGGGCACTTAAAAGACCCCTCCAACTTGCTCGCCTGCTCTTCTCTGGCGCTGGCTGTTTCGGAAGGGAAGCCGGGAGGCCGTGGTTGCATCCTCGGGAGGCGCCGCCTGGGGACATCTGAAGGCTTTCTGTTCCGAGCCCTCGGCCGGGGCGGGCGCCAGGTGAATCTCGCGGCGCCCGGCGTCGTGACTTGATCGAAGGCCCGCCTTGCAGCTGGCGCCTCGAGTGGGGATTGCATGCGGAAGGCTGGCCTCGGGCGTGGCTGAAGGACGGGCAGCACGTCACGTCAAGACCGACGAGGGGCCCATGGGGGGCCGGAAAATGGGGGGAGGTTCGGTGGGAGATTCCGGGTCGCGTTGCCTCGGCTTCAGGCGACCTTGTCCGCGAAGATGCGGGCGCCCTTGGGCGGTTCGCCCTGGCGCATGAGCCCTTGTTTGGGTCCGCTTTTGCGTGGGTGTCTTTGGGGTGGATCTCCTTGAGGCGGGAGCCCCCTTGGGCCGCTCGAATCTGTTGAATGCCCCCTTTCGAGACACGAGGCGCGTGGTGTTCGGGTCGGGAAGCTTACGGCTTTCGACTCGGGAGAGACGCATGGGGTGCGGTGGGTCTCCTTGTTATGGGTGTCTGTGGGTCTTCTGGATCTCCTTGATTTTCGCTTTTGGAGTGAGGAAGCTCGTGGTCTTCGGCTCGGGAGACTCGTGCCTTCGAGCCGGGAGAAATGCGTGGGGTGGGGAAGGGGCTGACTCCAGGCATGCTTGCCGCCGAGCGCCATCCGCGCCGCGCTAACTGTTCCTCTCCCGTCCGCAGGGTGTCCGTTGGGTATTCCACTTTGCGGCAGGGCGCGGGGCGGTCGCCGGGGGGCGGAGTCGGTGCTGGCGACCGGCATGGACGCCATCCCCAGGGATGTTTGGCTGGCGGTGTTCGAGGCGCTGGAGGCGCAAGACTTGGCTTGCGCCAAGTGCGTCTGCACGACGTGGCGGGACCTAGCCAGTAAGCGGGCTTTCTTTTGTGCCTGTGCTTTGATCGTGCGTGGCAATTGAACGAGGTTGGAGACCTGTGGCGCCAGTGCCCCTTTTCTGTTTTCTCCTGGAACAACAGTGCAAGTGTGCTCTGTGCTCTGCCCTCATTCTGGGCCCGAACGTGGCTTTCGACAGTGGACGAGGTTGTATGCCGTGCCGTTCGTTCACGGCACAGCAAGGCTGGGCGGGTGAAAAACGCCTTTGTCGACCGCGTTGGTGCACTGACCCATGGGGCATTCATTCAACACTGCATGGACGCTGCTGCCATCTGGCAGAATAGCAGGGACCCTGTGGCTGCCTCCTTGCGTTTGGGAATAGCCGTTTCGATTGATTTGAATCAAGGGTGGCCGTTCTCGTGGCGTCGCGCACGCCCATTGGTTGAGCCTAGCGAGTGGAGTGTCCCATCTTGGAACCATGTTGTGGTCCATAGCGTTGCCTGAAGATGGTATGCCGTGGTGCCTACCTGTGTAGAACTGCGGCGACGTGGTGTTCAGGCTCCCACTCTGCTGGGATTCTTCAACCACCAAGACAGTGCGTGTGTTGGGATATTCGTGCGTGCCAGCCACCTAGAATAGTGCGAGCGGGGAATCTTTGTCCTGGCTCCATGCTGAGCACTGTCTGCTGAGATTTCCCTGCTGTTGATTGTCAGAGGAAGTCTGGTCGAACAGCAACTGGTCCCGAGCTGAGAAAGAACCATAAGAATAGTTCCGCAGTACATAGGTGCTGAAGTAGATGTCTCCAAAGGCAGCAGGAGCAGCTCCCACATATGTGAGACAATGAGTTAGCATTTGGAGAAGGCAAAGGACGTTGGCACATTTGGCACGTTTTGTTGCTTCATCGACTGAGGTGTGCCAAGTGTGTGGAAAACAGTTGTTATTTGTTTATTCTCCATGCTCTCGTGGCCACCTGAACAGCTGCAGAATTTAGGCAGCCAGTCAAAGAAAATGCTCCCAAGACCTGCAAGCTGAGAGAAGTCGATCGACAGCATCCAGTACTCCCCTTTTGTCTGTCTTTCGATCATATATTGACAAGCCATATTGGTATGCTCTGGGTGGACACTGAGTGGTCAATCCTCAGCCCAGAGTTTAACTCTGGTGCAACATTATTGCTTTTGTCATGCTGTCTCTGCCCTGTACTTTGTATGCATATCACCACTTGCCCAGTGCATCCCCCAACCTGGATTATTCTGCTTTGTTGCAGCATTTTTGCTTTGCATTAATTCAGCCTTGGTTTAACATCCTGCACTCTTGTTATTGCTGACCAAAGGTGTGTCCCCATCACCCTGCAGGCTCAGAGAACATGTGGTTCCAGGCGGTTGCCGCTGACTTCGGCCAGCTGGGTGCATTCGTGGGAACGCAGAGGATTCCCAGCCGCACCTGGTCCCAGCGCGCCAAGATCATGTACCAGGACCCCCTGTACATGAACTTCCGCCAGATGGCACGCCTGCACGCCCTGGTGCGCTCCACCGAGTCCTGGACCCTGGAGATACGCAAGCCCGGATACCAGTGGAACAATGACGGCGAACTCCTGTTCCGATCAATCCCCTCGGGGGTGCACTTCATGGGCCAAGGCTTGGCCTTCATCTGCGACATACCCCTGGAGCAGCTGGAGGCCTACTCACGGGAATGGGTTTACATCCTGGGCTGCGACGAGGTGGGGGACGAGTACGTGCTCACTTGCGCCCGGCTGAGCATGGTGGGCCCCCGCCCCCGCAACGAGGCGTGGTCCAGCAGCTGCGTGCTGCCCCGCGACGGCGAGCTCAGAGTCGTGGGGCACGGGCTGTTCACGGGGTGCGACACGAGCGGGGAGCCCGACGGCTGTGTCACGGTGTTTGCGCACTACGCGCAGACGATTTTTGGCACCCCCCCGCCGGGCCACGGTGTGTGGCACTATGACGAGATGCACAGCCCGCGTGTGTGCGGGGTGCCCAACTGGCTGGGCATCCCGAATGCCTGCGTCTACATGGACGTCTTCGACGTGACAGGTGTGCACCACTGCTCGGTGGTCGTCAACCTGCCTGGATGGCGCCAAGTGCCGGACCGCCTGACCGACTTCCGCCCCTGGTTCAGCGTTGGCCTGGACGCCCTCAGGTCAGAGGCGCCCAAGGATCGCAGCATGAGACTGTACTGCCACGTGTGCATTTTTGAGCTCATGAAATACCGTGGTACGGTGCAAGGGAAGGATGTGTATGATGACGGCCTGTTCATAGAGCCGCTGAGCTGGGTGGAGTGTGAGCTGCGGTACCGAGGGGACGCGCCGGGGCCCGTGGGGCTGAGGATCTCGGGGAACGGGGAGTTTGGGATGTCCTGCTTCGAGTGTGTGGTGATGGGCATGGGGGGGGGCAACCCAATGGTGTCACTGGAGAAGTCCAGGCGAACGGTCAGGCGCGGTTCTGGGACCCTGCACTGGTGGTGATTGATTTGGGCTTGGGGCGAGCAGGGAGAGCAGGGATCCTGATTTCCGCGATGCCGATGGCGACAGTGTGCTGGATAAGACCAGCCCCAACTGTAGATGGAACAGCTGCAGCATGGTCTGCGGCTGAGTCGTGCCAGGTCTGCGACCCCGTTCTACAGCCCGTATTTAGAATTCCCAAACGTCTGCAGGGCGATTCCCTTGAGGTGGTGTCCATCTGGGACGTGCGCTGTTGGCAGCATGGTGGCATTTGAATAGCACAGGAGAGGAGTGTGGGAGTGATGGGCGGCAATACCTGAAGCCGGTAGAGTGAGGGGGATTAGAGGTAGGGACGGTTAGTCTGAGACGGAGCACCCTTTGGGCAATGGTGCACGAACAAAGCATTACCAGGTGCTCAGTGTTGAACTCGTTTGACCCAGGCTGCTGTATGCGGTGCCCACGCCAACAGACGGAATGTTTCGCAGAGGATGGGGATTGTTGGGTGCGACCTGGTGCTGACACTTCGACTTGGGGCCCTTGTGAGGCCACAAGCCACCCCATCCGTGCGAGACCCCCCAATCTGCCTATCCTTGCGAAGGTGCGATGTAGGTGGAATCAACCTGGGACAGAGTGGCAGACAGCGGCCCTACCTCATGTGCCCAAAGCGAGCTGGGTGCCAACAAGGTCCCAAGCCGCTCTCCAACTGATTTTTTATTGTCTGATTTTTTGCACCACATTATGGTGCTGACCTAATGGGGTGTGTTGCTGGCTGGTGGGGGTGGGGTGGACTGGCGGCATGATGGACCGATGCCGCAGCTCTGGCATCGCCAGAGTGCAGTGCTGCTGATGTCCTTTAATGTCGACAAGGGGTTAATTGAAGAACGTTTTGTATTGTCAGAATTGGCGGTTTGCATCCCGAGCAAGCACCAGTCAGTTAGCGCTTCAAATGGGGTGCTGGAAAGCGCAGTTTGCGTTTTTGTAAGAACACGTGACCTATTTCGCCACCCGTGTGCCAGTGAGGGCCGCTGGCGGTGCCGAGGACCGCTAATGAGCAATGTGGGTGTTGCCGCGCTTCCGTTCATCTCTGCGCCCTTGAGAATGCGCTTTTGGTGGTGGGCTCCACTGCGCTGAGCAAAGACAGTCAACGACTCAAGTAGTCACAAACATGGTTCGAAATGACGGTCTGATGTGGCGAATGACTGGCCTTAAATGCATTGATGCAAGCTCCAGGCGGAGGTGGACAATGCGTAGATGCGCTCGTCAAGCGCACTCCCCGAAAAATGGTAAAGATCACTAACGGATCAACAATTGTCCATCGTATTTCATGGCGACACCGTCAGAACAGCTCAGTGACAAGAGAGCGCATGGTGGAATGCAGTTTGCCCTTGTGAAGACTCACGGCCGTTTCCGCAGGCCAGCTCAGGGCGCTGATTCCGGAGTAATCGTCGGTGAAGCTAACTCGGAGTATCTCACAATGCACCTGTGCATTTCGCAAGGGTGGTCGAGAGCCCATTGCACATTGTGTTGACAGGGATTGGTATGATATTCCAAACTGCTGAAGCCGGATGGGAAACGGCTGCGACCTGTCAACAGTTAATGGCTGTGCCAGATTTGAATGGCGGCCAGTCGCCGACTCTCAACTGCTGGCATCAGTCGATGTGACCCCAAGGGGGCGCACTGATGTGACAAAATGGAAGGGCATAGCGATCATCTTGTGTGAAATCTATGGCGTGGTGTCACGTATGTGGGCGCAAGACAATGAATATGCTGCCGCCGTGCTGGCCTGTTGTATGTATACCAGTGCAGCACCAATATATCGCGTTCATCCAGTTGATCGAGCTGATCCAGAGCCAGCCAAGTTGCTTCCCCGCGTTTCCGGCAATTGAGCTGCAGGCGCAACATGGGCGGGGCAGCATTGCGTTGGGCGGAGCAACGCCAGTGCACATTCCATTCAAATCCAAATCGTTACAAATTCTCGCGCACAGTACAGTGCACCCAAACCCAAAGCCAGAGTCAGTAGCTATTGGCCATCGAACAATCTCCGTCCCGCCTCACTGTCGTAATCAAAGCTAATCCGACGTAATTCAAATGTCAAGAAACTCAAGAGACTTCCCACATCCCCATTACGTCAGTCGACTCATTCCCCTGCCGCCGCTGCTGGACCTAAGGATCCGGTGACCTGGTGCCACGCAAAGAGGCCGGGCTCGAGGTTCAAGCTGAGGTACACGCCGTTGAGATTTTCCCGTGGGTACGGCTGCGGGGGGGCACCCCTAGCGCGACACTAGGTACGAATTCCGAAATTTCGATCTCCACGTATCGTATTGCGAACATCCATCCGAAATGTCGAAAACAGCCAATGCGCTGATCCCTTCCCGCCACGGCTTTGCGCACCGCTCCGCCGCCAATGGCCCGACAAAGAAGAATCACGTGAGCAGCCCTCAGCCGCCTCCCAGCCCCATCCCCTCCGTTTGCCAAAAGTCAGTCTCTATGCAAAACCACACGCCTGTGTCGTCCTGGTCTTCGCCGAAGCCGTCGCGACCATGCCAGTGCTGGGCGCCGCCAACAGCGCTCAAATGTCGCAATTCAGGGCCTTAGAGCCCCAGGCGCAGGAGACAATGGAGCCTCCTTGGTTGATGAATGTGTTTCCATTTTCGTTGCGGGCGACTGTGCCATAGTCGGCCTCCGTCTGGGGATAGCGGGGGGCAGAAAGCGAAGCTCAGGAGCGTGCAAGCGGTTCTCAATTGTGACTGCAGTTCATGGAAGAGCTGATGGCAGGGTCTGGAAACGATATATAGGGTAAATAAGATAGGCGATAAATAAGCGTTACCTAGCCGCATCACACCATGTGCGAAAGATCTCCATAAGGCTCCACCTTTTCGCTAAGACAAAATCTTCACGGAAAACATGTAGAAATTAATTACGTCCTTCCCTTTAGGATTTAGCGCTATTCAGTATTTGACTCGAAAGTAAATTTCGTCTTTTTGCACTGGAATGGCTGATTTAAAGCCCGTTGCTGCGACTTGGATTTCATCCTGGAGTAAAATCCGGATTCACAATTTGGGGCGCACTCTTGGCTCCCCCAGCATATCTGGTTGCCCGCCATCACCTTGCAGGCTCAAGTTCAACGATCGCCCATGTAGAAATGCCTGCCGTACACCGTGCACTTCGGAAGCATACGGTTACGTACTTATTCACAGTTCCATTCCGTGTTCAAGTCGTGCCATATCATCTTGTTGTCCAATGCGCATGCACTGCTGCCATGGTTTTAGCAGACCGAGTCGCCAATTAGCGAGGGCACCTCCGTGGATGGACGTTTTGGCAAAGGTCCAAAAGGGTTAGGAGTCAACATTCAAAAATTATTCAATAGGAAAAAACTCCTCATTTTGCTCAGTTTCAGAACAAGCCAAAAGAGGGCGAAATCGCTCAAGCTCAAGACTTGTTGAAATGGGATCAAAATGTGTAATATTGAGCTTGCTCTATTTCATGAATATTAGCACGTGCTATTGCTTTCCAGGGCAAGGGGTCCAAGTGTGTTAATTTCAGTCGAAATTTCACTGCCAATGGCGTGGCGCAAATAGCAAGAGCTGATTGCAGTAACGGAAATGAAAGAGCACGCGCACGCACCTTGGCGTTTTTCCCTTTAGCATGTCCAGAGCCCCTATGTCTCGCAGTTCCTCCAGATCCTTCTCCCGTGATGACTCCCGTCGACGGATCAGTTGTTCCATCCCCTCCCCCAATCCTCAAATTCTGTCTGTATTGGACGTGCGAGGTGGAGTGGTGCTTTTTGTGGTGCTTTTTGTGGTGCTTTGGCTTCTTGTGATCTGCATCATGCATGCAATTGCCCTTTTCTCAAAATGAATGTCCCTGAGTACATGGCAAGCATTTGAGTACGCGTGTGGCACAAGGCAAGGACAGTGTTGCATCGCTTTCCTGAAAGGGCCACGACATGCAACTGCTGCGCGGCCATAGATGGCTGAATCGCGACGGTTTCAAGCTGATACAGGTGTTGCGAATGTAGCCATCACTGGTAGAAAACAGCATGTCTGCGATGCCAACTGCGATGCTATTTTGACACAAAATGATGCCGTCACAGTGATTGCGATGGCATAAAAGTGGCTGCGATGGCATCAATTTGTGTCAAATGGCATCGCAAACAGGCTGTTTTCTGCTGCTGCATGTCCTGAAGTTCACGAACTGCACTGGGCTGGAATTCTACCATGCTCAAATTCCGGACAAGTTTTTAAAATTCCGCACTCCGGACTGCGCAGTCCGGAAATTACGGTATGTGTGGCCGCGAGTTACGACACGATATTTCGCGAATTGCAGGAAAAAACATGTGCGGAATTCCAGCAGTACATAGTTCGGAACTTCAGAAAGAAACATCAGTCAAGGCCCGTGACCCTGTGCAAGAATTTTCCTGTTTCGTCAGGCTTGTTATTTGCGCCGTAAGCACAGATCGCATTCATGTCCTTACGCGTAAAGACGGGTAAAAATGCGTAGAACACAACGTAGAAACAGCGCCGTGTACATAGGGATAGTACATACAACCTTCGGGACTCCGGGGAATAGCATCCAGACGCACTGTAATGGGCAGAAAACGAATTTTGTTCGGCTACATCGTGGCCCTTGCCGAATGCGAAGCGTACGCTGTGCTTTGGGCGCTTGAGGGTGCGGAGTACTGATCCTGATCACTGCACGCAACTTTCATCTTGTAACCTCGGTGTCACAACGAGCCGTGAAAACGTACAAACAGCCGTAAGAATAGCCTCTATTTCGTATTTACGCATAAAAACGTAAGAACGTAATGTAAACGTAAATAATAAGCCTGTGCTTCATACCATGCTTGTCCTTGTGGTCCCCATGGCCGCCCCATTTGCTCAGATGGCGCATTGCTGACGGCATAGTTAGTTTGTCTCGGACGAAGCCTGGACACAAGGAAGGTGAAAATGTCAAAATAACTGCATGAAAATTTGAGGAGTTCAGTCAGCCAACCCAGACTGTGGAGCTTGACCTGCATCCTATAA